GCCCCACCTCTTAATGCTGTTGCATTGAGGATTCAGTTTCAGCATCAATTTTAGAGAGGACAGCATCATTCAAACCACAACAGTGACATTATGAGAAAAAATAATTGTTGTTGTAACTAAAATAAGGATCTAAGATGAGGAAATCATCCTAGATTGTCCAGCGTGCCCTAAATCAAATGATAAGTGCCTTCATAATAAACTTACAGGAGGCCGGGCATGGTGGCTCATGCCTGTAATCCCAGAACTTTGAGAGACTGAGGCACGCAGATCACCTAAGGTTAGGAGTTTGAGACCAGCCTGGCCAACATGGTGAAACCTCATCTCTACTAAAAATACAAAAATTAGCCAGGTGTGGTGGCACACACTAATAGTCCCAGCTACTTGGGGGGTTGAGGCATGAGAATTGCTTGAACTCTGGAGGTGGAGGTTGCAGTGAGCCAAGATCCCACCACAGCATTCCAGCCTGGGTGACAGAGTGAGGCTCCATCTCAAAAAAAAAGAAAAAAAAAAAGACAAACTTACAGGAAGGGATGCCCCAGTACAGGAGAAGGCCATGTGACCCCGAAGGCAGAGACTGCAGTGATGGGGCCACAAGTCAGGAAACACCAACAGGCTGGGCCCCATGACTCGGCCTGTAACCGCAGCACTTTGTGAGGCCAAAGCAGGAGGATTGCTTGAGGCCAGGAGTTTGAGACCAGCCTGGGCTACATAGGGAGACCCTGTCTCTAATTACATTTTTAAAAAAAAAGATGAAAAAAAGAAAAAAAAAAACACCAGCCACCAGAAGCTGAAAGATGCAACTAACAGGTTCCCCACTAGAGGCTCCAGAGGAAAGGGCCCCTCTGCTGACAGCGTGATCCCAGACGTCTGTCCTCCAGAGCCAGAGGAAAGGCTTAGGCCAAGGAGGAGTTCGTGGTTCTTTGTTATGCAGCCCCAGGAAGCCTTGAGTGAGGGAAAGTCCAGTCTGGAGGAGAAGGAGGCCATGCCCAGCAGTAGAGAACTACTTCCATTTTAGAAAACAAAATAGTGGCCGGGCACCGTGGCTCACGCCTGTAATCCTAGCACTTGGGGAGGTCGAGGCGGGCGGATCACGAGGTCAGGAGATCGAGACCATCCTGGCTAACACAGTGAAACCCCGTCTCTACTAAAAATACAAAATTAGCCGGGCATGGTGGCGGCGCCTGTAGTCCCAGCTACTCGGGAGACTGAGGCAGGAGAATGGCGGAACCTGGGAGGCAGAGGTTGCAGTGAGCCGAGATAGCACCACTGTACTCCAGCCTGGGCGACAGAGCAAGACTCTGTCTCAAAAAAAAAAAAAAAGAAAACAAAACAAAAAAAGTGTTCACCGTGTTTGTTCCTCAATCATGAGGAATAAACCATCACCTATTGTGGTGAATTTTATGTGTCAGCTTGACTGGGAGCATGGGGTGCTGTATTAGACCATTCTCACACTGCTATAGAGAAATACCCAAGGCCAGGCATGGTGGCTCACACCTGTCATCCCAGCACTTTGGGAGACTGAGGCGGGTAGATGACCTGGGGTCAGGAGTTTGAGACCAGCCTGGCCAACATGGTGAAACCCTGTCTCTACTAGAAATACTAAAATTAACTGGATGCACGCCTGTAATCCCAGCTACTCGGGAGGCTGAGGCAGGAGAATCACTTGTACCTGGGAGGCGGAGGCTGCAGTGATCCGAGATCACACCACTGCATTTCAGACTATGCGATGACAAAATGAGACCTCATCTCAAAAACAACAACAACAACAAACAAATACCTGAAAGCTGTGTGCCGTGGCTCACGTCTGTAATCTCAGCACTTTGGGGAGGCTGAGGCGGGCAGATCACCTGAGGTCAGGAGTTCGAGACCAGCCTGGCCAACACAGTGAAATCTGATCTCTACTAAAAATACAAAAATTAGCCGGTTGCACATGCCTGTAATTCCAACTACTCAGGAGGCTGAGGCAGGAGAATCGCTTAAACCCAAGAGGTGGAGGTTGCAGTGAGCTGAGATCGCACAACCGCATTCCAGCCTGGGCATCGGAGTGAGACCCTGTCTCAAAAAAGGAAAAAAAAAGAAAAAAGAAAAAGAAATACACGAGACTGGGTAGTTTTAAAGAAAAGAGGTTGAATTGGCTTGCGGTTCTGCAGGCTGTATAGGAAGCACCATGGCTTCTGCTTCTGGGGAGGCCTCAGGAAGCTTCCAATCGTGGCAGAAGGCAGGCAGGGAGTGAGGCGTCTCACATGGCCGGAGCAGGAGCAGGAGCAGGAGAGCGCGGAGAGGTGCTGCACGCTGTAAACTACCAGAGCTGGCGGGACTCACTCACTCTCCTGAAGACAGAACCAAGGGGAGGGCACTAAGCCATTCATGAGAAATCCACCCCCATGGTCCAGCCAGCTCCCAGCAGGCCCCGCCTCCAACACTGGGGACTACAATTCCACATGAGATTTGGGCGAGGACAGAGATCCAAGCCCATATCGGGTGCCCACATTGGACATAGTTTCAAGGTGGACCTGGGCGGGTGTTTCCAGATGAGATTTGCATCTGTGAACTCAGCTGAGCAAGTGCCCTCCCCAGTGTGGGCGGGCTTCATCCAGTCTGTTGAAGGCCTAAGTGGAGCAAAAAAGGTCGGGCGCAGTGGCTCACACCTGTAATCCCAGCACATGGGAGGCGAGGCGGGCATGCGGATCACTTGAGGTCAGGAGTTCGAGACTACCCCGGCCAAAATGGCAAAGCCCCATCTCTACTAAAAATGCAAAAATTATCCAGGCGTAGTGGCATTTGCCTGTTATCCCAGCTACTCAGGAGGCTGAGGCAGGAGAATTGCTTGAACCCAGGAGGCGGAGTTTGCAGTGAGCCGAGATCCCACCACTGCACTCCAGCCTGGGTGACAGAATAAGACCCTGTCTCAAGAAAAAAAGGAGAAGGAGAGAGGAATTTGCACCGCACCCCCATGCCCCTCCGTTTTCCCCACTGCCTCACTGCTTGAGCTGGCACATTTCATGTCATCTTCTCAGCCTCCACCCCCACCATTCCCCCCCTCCCTCAAACTGGGATTTACACCATTGCTCAGGCCTTCAGACTGGAACTGAATTACACCACCAGCTTTCCTGGGTCTCCGTATGGCAGACAGCAGATCATGGTACTTCTCAGCCTTCATGATTACATGAGCCGATGCCTCATAATAAATCTCCATTTACAAATAGAAATCTCTCATTAGTTCTGCTTCCTTGGAGAACCCTAACACAGGTATCTACTGGCATTTGGGGAAGAGCATTTTTTCTTTAGGCAGGGATGTCCTATATGTTGCAAGGTGTTAAAACTTCTGGGCCTAGTTGTGAAATATTGATGACATTCCTTAATCATTCTGACAACAAATTTCCTTCTCCACCCCCAAATTTCCAAAAGTCCTCTGGAGAGCAGTTCTGCATCTGGCTCAACCATTCATAAGCTGTAGAGAGACTAGAAAAGAGATAATCACAGAGTCAGGCCATTTTTACCGCAAGAATTAAAAAAACAGAGTTTTAAAAGTTTTTCATGTTTCTTCTATTACTGAATTCATTCCTTGCTTCCTTCCTTCCTCCTTCCCTGCCTCCCTCCCTCCCCGTCCCTCCTTCCTTCCCTTGTTCCTTTCTTTCTTCTTTCTTTTATTACTTCTTTTGTATCATCAAGAATGAGTGTTGAATCCTACTGAATGTTCTTATTCCACCCACCAAGAGGGTCATATGTGTTTCTGTTACTGGAAAGGGGTCCTATTCCAGACCGCAAGAGAAGGTTCTTGGATCTCACACAAGAAAGAATTCAGGGCGAGTCCATAGAGTAAAGTGAAAGCAAGTTTATTAAGAAAGTAAAGGAATAAAGAATGGCTAGTCTATAGACAGAGCAGCCCGAGGGCTGCTGGTTGCCCATTTTTATGGTGATTTCTTGATGATATGCTAAAGGAGTGGAGTATTCATGCCTCCCCTGTTTTGACGTTGCCATGGCATTTGTAAACTGTCATGGCGTTAGTGGAGTGTAGCAGTGAGGACAACCAGAGGTTACTTTCATTGCCATCTTGGTTTTGGTGGTTTTTGGCTGACTTCTTTACTGCAAACTGTTTTATCAGCAAGGTCTTTGTGACCTCCTCATCCTGTCACTTAGGATGCCTTAACCTCCTGGGATTGCAGCCCACCGGATCTCAGCCTCATTTTACCTAGCCCCTATTCGAGAGGGAGTTGCTCTGGTTCAAATGCCTCTGCCATTTTTGCTGTGGCAGAGGTGACTTACTGCAAACCTATTCTGCCACTTTAGTAACCACGATTGTATTTAGGTGGCAGTGTACCCAGTTAATAGACTGCATGTCTCAGCCTCCTTGGATGCAAGAAGTGGTCACGTGGCCAATACGATAAAGGCATAGGGCTGTTTGCATTTTTAGGAAGACCCTTTAAAATGAAATACACCATTGGAGTGCACCACTTTTGCCTTTCCTTCCTTCCTGCCGCCTGGAGTGTTGGTGTGATGGGTGGAGCTGCAGCAGTGCTACTCCTTATCAATTCCTTGATATCAATTCCTTGATAAGGTGATCTTGAGACTAGAAGCCAAACACTAGCATGATGGAGTAGACAGAGGAAAGTCTAGGTTCCTGGTGATAGTACAGCCATTACAGACATTAGGCTTGGGCCACCTACTTCTGAACTTAATTTACATAAAAATAAACGTCAAGGTTTTTCTAAAAATACAGATCGAGGTTATCAAAGAATAGAAGTGAGCCTTCAACCACAGTGTGAAATGGCACATTCGGATTTCATCTAAAGTAGGCAGCTGCTTCCCAGCTTCATTCAGCCACAGGATGGTAGCTTCATTTAATCAGATCTCTCATTTTTCAACAGATACAGATATTCCAACTTCTATATGAAAGCTCCCAATTTAAAAATGGTGGCTTGGCCAGGTATAGTGGCTCACGCCTGTAATCCCATCACTCCGGGAGGCTGAGGTGAGTTGACTGGTTGAGCCCAGGAGCTCAAGACCAGCCTGGGCAACATAGTGAGACCCCACTTCTACAAAAAATACAAAAAATTAGCCCAGCATCATGGCGCACATCTAGGTCCCAGCTACTGTTGAGGCTGAGTGGGAGGACCACCTGAGCCCAGGAGGTGGAAGCTGCAGTGATCCATGATCGCACCACAGCACCCCAGCCTGGATGACAGAGTGAGACTGTCTCAAAACAAACAGAACGTAATAGCTCAGCTTTCATGAAAAACATGGTGTAGCCTAAATGCAATACATCTAAGGGTGATATTTAGCCCACAGGGCTGCCAGTTGAACTCTGCTTAGGGAGGTTCCTTTCTGGGCTCATGCTGAAGTCGCCTTTGTAAAATCAGAAATGTATCTATTCACATTGAGCTTTTAATATCCCATGGGCAAGGTGAAATAGGGGAAGATCATGGGCAGATGCCACCCCTCTACTTCTGCACACCACACAAGACACTGCGTTTTATTGCCTCTTCATGGTGTGTAGCAAATATAGCAGGAGTCCACTCAAAACTTATTTATTTATTTAACACTGAGTCTTGCTTTATTGCCCAGGCGGGAGTGCAGTGGTGTGATCACAGCAGCCTCCGCCTCCTGGGTTCAAATGATTCTCATGCCTCAGCCTCCCAAGTACCTAGGACTACTGGCGTGTACCACCGCGCCCATCTATTTTTCTATTTTTGGTAGAGACAGGGTTTTGCCATGTTGGCCAGACTGGTCTTGAACTCCTGGCCTCAAGTGATCCACCCACCTCGGCCTCCCAAAGTGCTGGAATTATAGGCATGAGCTGCCGCGCCCCGTGTCAAAACTCTCTTTCTAAAATTTTGTCAGAAGGGGGTTGTGGCAGCTCTGTGCAACTTGTCCCCTTTCCTGTTTCCTCGTGTAATTCTGTTGGAAAGTATTGTTTAGCAGAATGATAATATTTTCAGATTGCTTTTGTCCTTAAAAAAAGGATGTGGCCTGCCTGCCCAGTGCCTGGGAAGCTGAAATACCAGGAAGAAGAACAAAATCCTGGGTGTTCTATTGAGAGTGAGAGGAGGATAGGATTTTGATGGTTCTACAATGATATAAAATTCTCCCCTACTCCATGCCACACTGAGAGACAGAGTGGTGGATCTAACTGGGGGAAGGCCCGCGGAGCCCAGTGCGCCCTCCAGGATGGACTTTTATGTCTTGATAAGCCTAGGGGTCACCATGCTGCATAATGAGGCTGGAGACCTGCCACTGATGGTGGTTATCACATGTCATGGCTTTCTTCATTCCCGCTTTCCCTTTCTGAGGCTGGAAGATATTTGGGAGGTGAGAGAAAATCAAGTTTGAAGGTAAATGAAAATATTGGGCACCCACTAGGATGTTCCACATCTGTAAATGCGAATGCATCTTTGTAAACACTTAACATCTGTTTTGGGGGGGGTGCTTGTTTAAATCCACAGATGGCATTTTGCCAGAGGCTTCCTTTAGTTCCCTATTTCTCTCACTCAAGGTATCCTATTTTGGAGATCAGACCAGGTGCAGCCCATGTACCCTGATGAACCCTGAGTTCCCCTCTCCATCATCTTCCTCACCTCACAGGTGCGGCCCTGAAATGTGTTTCTACTGTCTCCTCACACAGCCCCCATGTTCCCCTCCTCTGGTTAGTTTTAGGGTAGTCTGGCCTGGGAAGGAATTTGGGACTGATCATGCCACGTCCCCTGGAATGGGACTAGAAAGGAATCCTGGGCTTCCTGGGGACCAAGGCCCCACTCAGGTTGTCACGGAAAGTGAGGCTGAGAGCCCCTCTCTGCAGCACCCTGTGGGAGGGAACCCGAGGTCTCTGCTGGTCCTGGTGGGTACAGACCTGCAGCCATCCCGGTGCTCCGTGAAGCTCACTGATTTCCCCATGAAGCCCATGGAAGCCATCACTGGTTTCCATGGGAGCGGACCATGGCCACTCCTGCTCCTGTTCCCTGTGGGAAAGGGCCAAGGGCACCCCTGGTCCTGGTCACTGTGGGAAGGGACTGTGGTCACCGCTGGTCCTGGTCCCGGCGGAAGGGACTGTGGTTACCGCTGATCCTGGTCCCCGTGGGAGGGACTGTGGTAATCGCTGGCACTGGTCCCCGCGGAAGGGACTGTGGTCACCGCTCATCCTGGTCCAGGTGGGAGCGGACCGCGGCTACCCTGGTGATGGACCCCACGGGGCGCACCCGCGCCAACCCGCACGCAGAGCTCGCGCTATCCGAGGCCCCTGGTTCCCGTCCTCCTCCCCGCCTGGCGCCGGAACCTGCGAGCTCGGGCGCGGCCTCGGGGCGGGGCGGGCGCGGCCTCCGGGAGGGGCGGGCGGGACAGACCCAGCCGCCCCGGCTCCCCCGCCGTCCGTGTCTGCGCCGCCCCCGGGGCCTGGTCGGCGGCGGCTGGGCTGGTCGATGGCCCGGGCGGCGGCGGCGGCATGCGGCTCCTGTTCCTGGCAGTGCTGCGCCCGCACACCGGCAACGCGGTCACGGCCCAGCGCGTCCGGTAGGTGCAGGGCGCCGGGGCCTGCGAAGTCGGGGGCGGGGGGCGGGGTCTAGGGGGTGGGGACGCGGGACCCGGGGACGCGGGGCGCTCAGCCAGGCCCCCTCCAGCCGCGCCGGGGCCGCTCCGAGCCCCGCGCACAAACGGACGGGCCGGTGCGCGCGGGGGTCGTTGCCTCCAGCCCGGCGCGCGTGTCCCCGGGTCTTTGTGCGGCCGGCGCGTTGGCCTCGCGCTCTTCGGAGGGGACTGAGCAGGTGAACAGGCCCGGGGCCGCCCGCGGAGGGGCCCGGGAAGGCCTCGCTGCAGAAGCAGGATGGGAGCAGGATCCGCAGGGATGCGCAGCAGGGTTCGCCGGGAAGCGCAGCACAGTCTGCGGAGCTCTGGGCGGGAGCGCGTTTCCAGGCCGGGGACCTGCCCTCGCGGATCGGGTCTCGGCTGTGTGCCGGCGTCCGGAGTCCTGTCCCCCGAAATCCCTTCCCCACCTCCCCTCCGCCCTCTATTCTCCACTTCCTGGCTGGTTAGCTCCTTCACACTCATCTTTTTCTGCCTTTGTCTTATTTGTTTACTTGTTGGTCTGTGTTCTGGTCGGTGGAACGCAAGCCCGGCAGGGGCTCGGGGAGGGGCTGCCGCGTTAATCCCGCCGCCTCCCGCCTGCACCGCGGGCGCTCCGCCTGTATTAGCCGGATAAACATATTCCTTGAGGCGAAGCCTGGGAAGTGCCAGGATTAGACCCTGCAGCTTAACAGAAGCCGTGTGTGTGTGAAGAAAAACGGACTTGCTTCATGAAATAGGTTTTCCGATTTACTTCCCCTCTGTGGGCCTCTTTCCTCATCAATTTATTTTTTTTAAATGGAGCCTCCTGGCGCCCCCGCCAGAGTGCAGTGGCGCGATCTGGGCTCACTGCAATCTCCGCCTGCCGGGTTCAAGCGATTCTCCTGCCTCAGCCTCCCAAGTAGTTGGGGTTACAGGTGCGAACCACCACACCCGGCTAATTTTTGTGATTTTAGTAGAGACGGGGGGGGGTTCACCATGTTGGCCAGGTTGGTCTCGAACTCCAGACCTCAGGTGATCCGCCTGCCTCAGCCTCCCACAGTGCTGGGTTTACAGGCAGGAGCCACTGTGCCCGGCCTCCTCCTCATTAAAATGAGCAATTGAGACTCCACCAACCCTTTCGTATCCCTTTCAGCTGATTTCTGCTAAAGCTCACAAGCAGAAATGACCAAGAGAGGATACATCCGTTTTCTGAAGTTGCTGGAAAATTTATATTCAGGTTTCATGGTGCAGGTTTCTATGAAATAGGACAGTGATGCTCCGCTTGGGTCTAGCAGTGAGGAGTCCTTTGTGTTCCTGACTCTGTTGGATGGATCAGCATCCAGCATACCAGTACGGGAGAGGAATGAAGGAGGTGATTTCACGTAGGGATTGGTGCTATTAAGAAAGCAAAACTAGGAGGCTGAGGCAGGAGAATCGCTGGAACCTGGGAGGCAGAGCTTGCAGTGAGCCAATTGATCCGGGATCACGCCACTGCACTCTAAAAAAAAAAAAAAAACCTAGGGCGGGCGGGTGCGGCGGCTCAAACCTGTAATCCCAGCACTTTGGGAGGCTGAGATGGGAGAATTGCTTGAGCCCAGGAGTTAAAGACCAGCATGGGCAACATGGTGAAACCCTCATCTCTACAAAAAATAATTTAAAAATTAGCTGATGTGGTTGTGCGTGCCTGTGGTCCCAGCTACTCAGGCGATTGAGGCAGGAGCTACTCAGGAGATTGAGGCAGGAGGATTGCTTGAGCCCAGGAGGTCGAGGCTGCAGTGAACTGACATTGCACCACTGAACTCCAGCCTGGGTGGCAGATCGAAACTCTAAAAAATAAAACAAAACCATTGCCGGAAAGGGATCCTGATCCAGAACCCGAGAGAGGGTTCTTGGATCTTGCACAAGAAAGAATTCAGGGAGAGTCCTTAAAGTAAAAGCAAGTTTATTAAGAAAATAAACAAATAAAAGAATAGCTACTCCATAGACAGAGCAGTCCCGAGGGCTGCTGGTTGCCCCCCGTTTTTTTGTTTTTTTGTTTTTTGAGATGGAATGCCCTTTTTTTTTGAGACAGAGTTTCACTTTTTTGCCCAGGCTGGAGTGCAATGGCGGGATCTCAGCTCACTGCAACCTCCACCCCCGGTTTCCAGCGATTCTCCTGCCTTAGCCTCCTAAGTAGTTGGGATTACAGGCACCTGCCACGACGCCCAGCTGATTTTTGTATTTTTAGTAGAGACAGGGTTTCACCATGTTGGCCAGGCTGGTCTCAAACTCCTGAGCTCAGGTGATCCACCCACCTCAGCCTCCCAAAGTGCTGGGATTACAGGAATGAGCAACTTCACCTGGGCTTGGTTGCCCATTTTTATGGTTATTTCTTGATTATATGCTAAACAAGGAGTGGATTATTCACGCTTTCCCTTTCTAGACCATATCGGGTAACTTCCTGACATTGCCATGGCATTTGTAAGGTGTCATGGCACCAGTGGGAGTGTAGCAACGAGGACAGCCAGAGATCGCTCTCGTTGCCATCTTGGTTTTGGTGGGTCTTGGCTGGCTTCTTTACTGCATCCTGTTTTATCAGCAAGGTCTTTATCACCTTGTATCTTGTGCCGACCTCCTGTCTCATTCTGTGACTTAGAATGCCTTCACCATCTGTGAATGCAGCCCAGTAGGTCTTAACCTCATTTTACCCAGCCCTTATTCAAGATTGAGTTGCTCTGGTTCAGATGCCTCTGACAAAACTAAATAAAATGATTGAGAGGCATGTTGATGGCTGGGATGCTTTAGAGAATGTGGTCCGGGAGGCTGTCTCAGGAGATGACACTGAAGCTAAGACCGCAAATAGGCCGTCACTGAGATCTGGAGGGACGGTCCCAGGAAGGAACAATATTGAGAACACGGGCCCTGGGCTGGAGGAAGCATGAGCTGTGTGAGAAGCAGAAAGGCAGCCAGGGTCACTGGACTGTAGAGAGTTTGGGGCCAGCGCTAGTAAATGAGTCAGAGAGAGAGGCCAAATCTGGCTTGTACATGTGGGGAAAACACTTTGTGCTTAAGAAATAATTACCACTTAAAAAAAATGGTGAAACCTCGTCTGTACTAAAAATACAAAAATTAGCCAGCTGTGGTGGCACAGACCTGTAATCCCAGCTACTCGGGAGGCGCAGGCTCAGGAATCGCTTGAACCCGCGAGGCGGAGGTTGCAGTGAGCCAAGATGGCGCCACTGCACAACAGCCTGGGAGACAGAACAAGACTCCCTTTCAAAAAGAGAAAAGAAAACCAAAAAAATGTTGAGTGACCAAAGAACCTGAACAGGCACAGAGTTAAAAGCTTCAGGCAACAAAGAAATATTACCTGTTATTTAACATTTTGCTCCTAACTTGAGCTATATACCCACATCTTCCAAGGGCCCAAACTCGTACCCACCCACAAGGCCACGTTACTTTTGTCCCAACTCAGAGGTGAATTAATAGAAAAAATAACTATGTTAGCTGCTCTCCTAAGATTCACTCTCCCATCATTCCGTTGGTGGTGCACTTTTGAAGTTGCCTATCTTGCTAGGCCTTGGGGCTATGGAGAGGGAGGAAGTGGGCAGGGCTTATGCAGAAGGTTGACTGCAGCTAAACTGGAGTGGAGGGCTATTTAGTCACTTTGTTCTTTCTTTTCCTGGCTGTGCAGAAGCAGAATAAAGGCTGCTATTCATGCTTTGATGTTTATTCAGACCCAGCGTTTGTTGTCCTTCACCTCAGGAAGGATTGCTGGCGGAAGAAAAAGAAAAAAGCAGAAGTTGCTTGAAGACATCTTCTGAGTTGTGAAAGCTTAGGCTCCTTGAGGAAATGATGCTGGTGTCCTGGACGGGCAGGGAGGGAGGTTCCCTTGGTGACTGAGAGTCCCTGTGAGCTAATCAGCAGTGAGCAATGAGGACCAGGCGTTCTTCTCCAAAATCCCTGCCAAAGACCCTGGAGACCACCCTCAACTGACCCTGGACCCTGGGGGAGGGAGTTCCCCAAATGCATAAATCTGGAGTTCCCATCAGCCTGGCAGAATAGGAGGCCAGAACTAGGTAAGACTGGATTTAAACCAAATGCATAAATCTGGAGTACCCCTCAGCCTGGCACAATAAGAGGTCAGAACTAGGTAAGACTGGATTTAAAGAAAAAATGAAGTGGTTCTATTCTTACACAAGGTGGTGTATATAAGTAACGGTGCAAAATTCTGATAAATGTATTGGCCGGAGAAGCACAGGATCCTCTGGGGACATATAGGTGGGGACCGATCCCAGATCAGAGGTCAGGGAAAGCCTTCTGGTGCCTTCCAAGCCTGTTCCCTGCTGACAAATTGCACGGTCCAGACCAAGTTTGCTTTGTGGCTCGGTGTCCTTATTTATAATGATGATGCCAATATGGGTTGTGAAAGCAACTAAATGAGCTAATACACTTTCAGCATTTTTAAAGCAGTATCTGGAACATAGTGAGAACTAAGCTCTGATTTTTAAAAAATCTTTCCCAGATTCCTATCTAAGAGGTCTGGGAAGTCATGCCCAATAAACCATAAATTCTCATTAGATGGGTTTTATTTGACCCCATATATCGTGATTTACTTTCCAATCTGACTCTGGCATAACATTATGAGACCAAAAAAAAAAAAAAAAATCAAAATATTTAACCCCAAAACATGCTTCTCTGCCATATCTTGAAATGGCCCTGCAGAGCCATCCTTTGTGGGAGGAAAATCTGCCTCTGTAAAGAATCTCTGCCGGGCAGGGTGGCTCACGCCTATAATCTCAGCACTTTGGGAGGCCAAGGCAGGTGGATCACTTGAGGTCAGGCGTTGAAGACCATCCTGGCCAACATGGTGAAACCCTGTCTCTACTAAAAATACAAAAATTAGCTGGGCGTGGTGGCACACACCTGTAATCCCAGCTACTTGGGTGGCTGAGGCAGGAGAATTGCTTGAACCCGGGATGCAGAGGTTG